TTCACATACTCACCGACAATACCACCGCAATGTACTGTGTGAACAAACAAGGGGGAGCACACTCTAGGTTACTGTGCCTAGAGATGATCAACCTGGGCAATTCTGCATTTAAGAGGACATCACTCTCAAGTGGATAGCTGTCCACTTGCCTGGCATGCAGAATTGTCTCATGGACCATCTAAGTGGGGTTTTCTACCTGAGTCACAAGTGGTCCCTGAAGGCGAGGGTCCTCCAGGTCATCCTTGCAACATGGGGCATTCCCATGGTCAACCTGTTTGTGATGAGCAAAAACAGGAAGTGTCACCTAATGTGCTCTTGGTGGGGGTGTCTCAACCCAAGCTCCCTCTCTGATGTCTTCCACTGTAGCTGGCAGTCGACTCTTCTCTATACGTTCTCCCCTATCCCGATCATTCCTCAGGTCATTCTCAAGCTCAAGGTGGATCAGGCCAAGCTCATCCTCATTGCTCCAGCATGGCCGAGGCAGTACTGGTTCTTGGACCGTCTTGTACCGTTGGTTCAGCCTCCCATACCACTTCTTCCCCATTGCAACCTGCTCACTCAGAACCATGGCATCACTCTCCATCCTGCACTTACCTTCCTATACCTTACAGCGTGGCTGCTGCATGGTTTAATGAAGAGAAAGAGCAGTGCTCAGTGTCCAACAAGTCCTACGCATTAGAAGGAAGTCCTCTACTAGGATGGCTTACTTAGCAAAGTGGAAGAGGTCTTCTGTGTGGTCTGTGGCCTGTGGGATCCAACCAATGTAATCTTCTATCCAGGACACCTTGGAGTACCTACTACATCAGAGGCGAGCAAACTACGGCCTGTGGGCCACATCTGGCCCACGGGCCACATCTGGCCCACATCTGGCCCACGGGCCACATCTGGCCCACGGGCCACATCTGGCCCACGGGCCCTTCCCCTGCTGTTCCCCCACAGCCTCAGCTCGCGCCGCTGCCGACGCAATGGTCCTGGGGCAGCGCAGCTGCAGAACCGCGGCCTGACCCGGTGCTCTGTGCTGCGCGGTGGCGTGGCTGGCTCCAGCCGGGCGGCACAGCTGGCTGTCCTGGTGCTCGGGGGGGGGCGGCTGTGGCGCCGCCAGCCCCCGGGGCCCCGGGGGGGAGGGTAGGGGGGGGGGGGGGGGGGGGGGGGGGGAAGTGTATAGAGGGCAAGGAGTTCGGGGTGGTGGTCAGGGGGCAGGATGGGGTCAGGGCAGTCAGCAGAGGGCAGGGAACGGGGGGGGGTGAATGGGGGCAGGAGTCCCCAGGAGGCAGTCAGGAAGGAGAGGGGGGGTTGGATGGGGTAGCGGGAGGCAGTCAGGGGCAGGGGTTCCGGGGGCGGTCAGGGGACAGGGAGAA